CGGTGGGTCCCAGCCTCTCGTCCTCCCGGGAGCTCCCCAAACCTCGGTGGGTCCCAGCCTCTCGTCTTCCCGGGAGCTCCCAACAAAATCTGTTCTGAAGGGTCAACTGAGGAAAGGGTTTTGTCTTCTGCCCTCTGGTCAGGCCTCACCTTCTTGAATGGGTACATGGCAAGCTCCAGCTGCTGGGCTGCCTCCTCCCAGCTGAGCTCCCGCTGCCATACAATATCCTCAAACACAAACTGGATGGGCTCCCCAGAAGGCAGGCGGCTGTCAATCACATTGCCATTCTCATCATGGATCACAGATGGCACTGAAGGGCCCTGGGATTCGAGCTCCATCTGTGAGGAAAATGAAGTAGCCAGTGATGAATGAGAGAGCCCCAAGGAGTGATGCTGGCTCTGTGTAGGGGTATGCATGTGCTTCTTTCACAGAAGCTGCTTCCTGAGCAAGCCCTTTGATTAGGGCTTTGGCTCAGGCACTGTGGGGGTACTGCACAGGAAGCCAGTACCAGATAGATCAGATTAATGGAAGAGACAGGTTGTGCCTAAAGAGAGCTGATCTAAGACATGCACAGAAAGACAAGGAAATCAGTCTGAATATAGAGCTGCATGGAAGGAGAGAGTAGGAGTCTGAACTAGTTACATATGGCTAGTTAGACAAGTATGGTGCCAAGGGGTATGTGTGATCCCTAGATGGGTTAATCAGATTGGCTGCATTTTTGTGCCAGACTGTCACCTCTTGTAAATATGAATAGTCAGTTATGAGAAATGTTGGCTCAGTGCAAACCTGTCCCCACTATGGAAGAAACAATGGGAAGAGCTCATACGCCTCCTGCTTGCACTAAAAAAGGCCCTTCCCATATATCAGGTGTGTAGCACAGGGAGGGGGGCTCGAGGTGTGCAGTGAAGCACACCTGGTTGGTCACACATGGTCAGAACGTTGAAGTGATCACAACATTTTAAAGAAGCATCAACAAAACATTTATTCTTGTTCTTAAAAACCTCAGATATCAGTGGTGGCTTGGGAGAGAACTACTCTACATTTCTTCTTAAAACAGGGGTTTTATCCTGAAGTTCATGAACTTTAAAAACACTGATAACTACATTTTCAATATAATTAGTTATCTTTGTAATCCTATTTATTTTATTTAATGCATTTAAAAACCTTATTCTGAGAAAGGATCCACAGGTTTCCCCAGACTGCCCAAGGGGTCTATCCATGTAACACAAAAGGTGAAGAAAAAGGTTTCCCTTCCTCCTTTCTCCTGGACATCCCTAACTCTGACCTCTGCGCAGGTATCAAATTTAGGGTGCTGCCATATTAAAGTACCTTTTGTCTTGACCCAGGAATGGCCAGCAGGGCGCCTGCCTGAACTCTGACATGGAGATGAGAAAACATTAAGCCCTGGGCCTCTCTTGGACACTTCAACACTTCAACAGACATTTATCAAGTATCTATGTGAAAAGTGCTAGACGTTGGGAATACAGACACAAACGAAATAGTTCCTGCCCTCAAGGAGCTTATATTCTACTAGAAGTATTTGGGAAGTAATACAAAGTAATCTGAAGAGGCAGAGAGCACTGGTGGAGAGATCAGAAAAGGGCTCAGGCACAGCTTGGCTCTGAAGGCAGCCAGGGATGCTGAGAGGCAGTGATAGGGAAGAAGGACTGCAATCCAGGTATGTGAGGTACAGAGGCAGGAGATGGAAAGTCGTGTATGGCACCCAGGTATGGGCCAGTCTGACTGGAATGTAGAATGTATGAAAGGCTGGACTAGGAGATAAGAGAGGTGGGAGCAAGCCTGGTGTGGGTTTCAAATCCTAGGCCGAGGAGTTTGTATTTTATCCTAGAGGTAATAGGGAGCCACCGAAAACTTGTGAGAAGAGGACTGACCGAATCAAACTTTCTCAGACCTGCCCCAATGTGGGGGAAGCATTTTATAGGTCTTTAAAATCTACTACCCTGAGAGGCCTACTTTTCTAGGAGAGGGAAAGGCCTGATTAGCACTGGGTGCTAATTTTGGAATACTAGGGAATCTGAGAGAGAAGAGATTCCTGTGCTACCCCCACGTGACTGCAGAATTGCCAAATGAAAGAGAAAATGGTGGTGAATACAAAGTCAATAGGAGATAGTAGAGGAGGCACTGCTCAGAAAGCAGGTATATTTAACTCCAGTCACACCAACACACATGGAGGCAGGAATCCCTAGACAACAGCTGGCCTCCCTTCTTATAAAGAGCGAGTTGGTGGAGGCCCCCAAAGGCAGCTGTACTCTGACCGTCCCAGACAAAATTTAAGTCCTGGGTAGTATTAACTTGAGAGGATGGAAACAGGGGAACTGTGGAAACGGTGCAGATGGGCCTGGCCAAGGCAGCAGAGCCATGCGTACCTGAGGGAGGTAACCAATGTCGACTTCCATGCTGCTTTTCTCATTAGCTCCATACAACCACTCCATGTCCACATTCAGAGACCTGGCAGGAAGAACCCGTTTGAATAAGAAGCCTACTGGGGTAGGACGGAAAAGGGGGCTTGTCCTTGACTATGGGCCAAGTCACTTATCCTATCAACATCAGTCTTCACATTCACAGCCAGGCCAGCCATATCACCAGATCAACGGGGCCATGATTAAAAAAGCTGGCTAGAAAACAGAGCTCTAGGGCTGGGCAAAAGGACTACTGCAGGTACAGGGTCCGACTCTTTGGCAGAAGAGGTGAGCTATGGGACAGGAGGATGGCCAGAAAGGTCAAGGCCCAAGCGGGAACTCTATTAATAAGAACAGGGTTTGGGTGGGACTCCAAAGAGGAGGGGAAGGCTCTGGGGACATGGCCCAGGGTTGAGCATCCGTACACTTGGCTTAGCGTCAGTTCCCTGAGGATGGGCATCCTGAGGTTGTGCTGTACATGCCCCTTGGTGGCTGTGGGTGGCCCACCTGACATCACACCGTCTCCAGGGTTTTTGCTGTGCCTAAGGATGCCTCTGAGCTGGAAGGATTCTAAGACGGTGAGCTTCTCTCTGACCTGAAGCAATGTTTGCATCTGCCACGTGGGGGAGCTCTAGGCCTTACTTTCTCCCTGGGTGAAGCAGAACAAGCTCAGGTGGGGACTTGGGAGGGCTGAGGAGCCCCTAGGGCAGAGATCCTTAGAAGGTGTGCAACTGGACAGTGCGAGTATTCCCATTTTACAGATGATGAAAGTGAGGTCTGGTCACATTACCTATTAAGTATCATCGCTATTTTTTTTTTTTTGTGAGGCACTTGAGGTTCAGGGACTTGCCCGGAGTCACACAGCTGGTGAGCGCTATGTGTCTGAAGCTGGATTTGAACTCAGGTCCTCCTGCCTCCAGGGCCGGAGCTCTATCCACTGAGCCACCTAGCTGCCCCATCATCGGCATAACTTGCACAGTTCTCCTTCCTGACTTCCAGCTCAGCAGGACTTCTCTAACGTTTTCAGGGCCCCAGCCCTTCTGTTGGCCTGGCGTCACATTAACTGGAGCCCTGACTCCACTCTAAGCTCAGAGGACTCTGAGCTCTTCCTCTCTCTCTGGGTGGGACACACAGAACAAGTGGGGAATCGGGCTTGTGGCTGGGGGAGGGTCTACATGAGGACAGTCTGGTAGGCACCCCCCCCCTCCCCACGGCCCAGCTCCTGATTTTCTCATTCTCATTCCATCACAGCCACCTGCAGTCCTTTCCTTCTCCTTTACTGGGGAGGGGGCAGGTAATGCCTGAGGGGAGCAGGGGAGGCAGCCTGGGGGTTCTCTTCCAGCCCATCCTCTGGAGCCTCAGTGCTATTTCCCCTACCTCACATTTGCACAGAGCTTCCCCCTCACTCCATCCCTGGGAGGTAGGTACGGCAGGGTTCTATTCTCCCCATTTTTCAGATAAGAAAATTGAAGACTAGAGAAGGGAAGTGATTTGGAGGTCACGAGCTGGTAGTACAGCTGGGAAGAGTCGATTCCTGATTCCTGGCACCGGGTTCCTTCCATTGGACTGTGTTCCTACTTCCTTCTCTATGCTCAGCTCTTAGGGAAGTTAATGGCAGAAATGCTCAATGAAAGTGGGCAAGCTAGGCCCAGGGCAGTTGCTTCTGGGCACTTTGAGGACAAGTGCAAATTGTTAGGTTAGGGACACTGATGGAAGAGCCAGATGCTGGCAGGTGGTTGATGCATGGGGCCCATTTGGCACAACGTCCTGCTTAAGACCCCCCATTTCCTGCTGGCTAAAGCAGCTGGGCTCCAGATTCCCCCCAACAGATCAGTTCCAGGAAGTGAGGAAGGGAAACTGAAAGAGATAGTGGCAGCAGCTACCAATGCTGCCCAGGCCAGAGCCCCAAATTCCCAGAAAACCCCAAAGGGAAACATGTCTTTTGGGCCCCCGATCTCCTAACCAAGTTCCCTCGGGATCCTACCTGTGGTTAGGCACAAAGAGCTTGAATTCACGGATGTGGGTGGCATCTTTGGTGAGGATGATGTGCCCAGTGAACTGTCCTGGAGAGAACCAGAAGGGAAAGTGGGGTGGCTCATTGAGCTGGAACTCGGCATGGATCCTGTGGCCGGAAGGGAAGGAGGCACAGCTAGGAGGAGGCACTAGTTGCTTTCCATAGGGGGCTGAGGGAGGGTAGCAGGGTTTCAGCAGAGGATGTCAGAATCCCGTTTTTGGCTCCCCACTATATATCTGACACCCTCTACAAACACGAGGTGCTTTACTGTGAAAAATTATACCTTATAGGACTGGTCAAAGCTATTTTCACATGTCTCAGAGCTCACACGTTAGTTCAAGAGAACCAGAAAGGGAAATGGGAGAGTTCTGTTAATTTGGTATAAAGTATAGATCCCATGGCTGGAGGGAAAGGAAACACAACCAAGAACGGGAACCAGCTGAGTCCTGGGGATGGCTGAGAGAAAGAGCAGGGTTCTAGCTATCAAGCGTCCTCCAGTGCCTTACGAAGGCTGTCTGGGGCTGTTCAAACACCTGCCTCAGGTGAAGTTAACCATTCAGGAGAGGTTCAGTTCAGTCACACAGGAGAACAGAATGGTAGAAGACAAGCTACAATAGCTGATATTTATATAGGACTGACACTGCAAAGCACTTTACATACGCTATCTTAGTTGATCTATACAGCAACCCTATGAGGTGGGTACTCCCACCCCATTTTCATCCCCATTTTATAGATGAGAAAACTGAGGCTTGGAGAGGTTGAGTGACTCGACCTATGTCATATAATTAGCATTTCTGGCTGGTTTTGAATTCAGATCTTCCTGACTCCAAGGCCAGCATTCTATCTTCAATATCAGTGGTGTCAAACTCAAATAGAAAGGAGGCCCCTCCACACAGAAGGATCCCTGTTCCTGCCTCATATTGACTTAGTTTTAAAATGTTACGTTATTTTGGTTATGTTGTGGTTTTATTTATTTTGTTAAATGCTTCCCAATTATATTTTAATCTAGTTTCTGCACTCCACATGTGGATGTCAGGCTGCCTTTGACACCCTGCTTTATACACCCTGCTTTTTCTAAGGTAAAAATTCAGTGAAGAGAATACTTGGTGGAAAGAGGGAGTAGGACAGGAATCGAGGGGAAGAGGTCGTTTCACCTTTGACTTTTTTATCCCCAGAGCCTAGCACAATGGCCGGCACATAGTAGGTGCTTTATAAATGCTTGCTGAATTGGAAGAGGCTGGCTCCACCTGCTCGGAGGACAAAAGCCCTGAACAACTTAATGCAAGGCAGTGCTTGCTGCAGGATGACCTGGATAACTGAAATCTGTGGGTAACTTTCCCAAGGACAGTCATGGGGACGTCCTGTGGCCCAATCAATACTCCCATTCAGCTTATTACAGAGCCACTCAGACAACGCAAAATGGATTGTTTCCAACCCTCCGCCCTCCCCCTCAGCCCCAGGGGACGGGCTGTGTAAGGAGCATGAGAATGAAGTCCACATGATCCACATGTACATGGCACAGCCTCCCTGCAGCATCTGAAGACAGGTTCTCAAACAGCTGGTGTTTCTGGTGCAGTTCCCTGCCCCAAGGTCTTGCCTTCCTTCCCCTCCCCTGTCCTGGATCACCAGATGGGCCAGTGCTCACCTGAAAGCCACCATGTAATAGGAGTCACTGATGGCCGTGAGGCAGGCCACTGCGCCCTGGGGCCCAAAGCGGGTCTTCACAAAGGGCCGTGGGTGGAACATGCTCAGCAGTCTGTGGATGATGATCTGTGGGAGACAAGGGTACAGGCCCCCTGAGAGGACGGGCCTCAGTGCCACTTTGGCACTCAGTGGCAGGGCCTTTGGCTTCATTCCATTTGCCGATGGGTTGGAGCAAGGTGTCCTCCCTGGAAGACTTGGAAGCTCCTCTCCTTTGGGTCCTGAGCCTGCTGGTCTTCAATGAGTGGCCTCACATCACATCAACCCCAACAGCTCACCTAATACCCCCCATCCTGCCCTTGATCTGACCCTTGCATCCATCCCAGGGCTCCAGAGTCTCTGCTGACTTAGGTAGCTTAGTTTTAGAAAGGTCCATGCCCTTTCCCCCACTTCCTCCAGCTGTTCTCAGAAGCTTGGAATGAAATGGAAAAGCTTTTAGCAGGCACTTACTATGTGTCTCATTCTGTGCTAACGGCTGGTAATAGAAAGAAATAGAAAATGGAGGCAGTCCCTGCTCTTAAGGAACTCTGGAGCTAGAGTCCCTTCCTTACCTCTTTGCCTTTGGGAGGAGGTGGGTAGAAGCGGTTGTTAGAGAGGTATCCAGTGAAGATGCTTAACTCACTGGGGATAACCCACCAGGGCTCGCCCAATTCCATGTTGCCCCGGGGGGGCAGGAAAGGCTTGAACTGGTGAGCAGAGAACTCCATGAGCTGTGAGGCAGGGGTCCTCCATTCTCGAAGCCCAGACAGAGCAAGATGAGAAACCTAGGAGGCAGCAAAGGGTCAGGTGAATAGAGCTGTGAGATGGAAGAGTTGCGTCTACCTAGCCATTGGCAGGCCACCAGGGTGGTTCTGCCCAGCAGAAGGTTCAGGAGCATAACCAGGGCCTTCACCAAAGAATCTGGAGGTAGCATGAAGGTGGGAGGCAAGAAGTGACTGGTCCTGTGCAGTTGTGTTCCAGCTGTGTAAGAGTTCTGATTCCCAGTCACTTGACCTCTAACTGCCTGATATTTGAAGCCCCCAGGGCCATCTCCAGTTGTCTTGACCTACATCTTGCCAATGGACTCAGCTGGCTCTGAAGAAGAGAGTGAGGCTGGTGACTCTGCACAGCCTCCCCTCACTTAAATCCAACTCACTGGCATGTCATGGCATCACCTTCCTGATGTGATGGTCCTCTTTGAGAACAAAGAACAAACAACAATCTGAAGCCCCCATGCACCTCTCCAGCCTTATCCCCACCCTTCTAGTAGGCCTGCTCTCCTAGAGCCCATTCTCAGGAGAGGTGGAGATTAGGCTTTAAGTAAAAGGGGAAGGGCCAGGAGAGGCAGCAAAAACTGCCCTAGGAGCTCCCAGAGAGATGAATTTAAAGTGTATTTCCTCAAATCACAGACACATCCTCTTGTGGGGTTGGGAGGGAAACTGGATTCATTAGGGCTTTAGGGTGACTTGTGTGCCCTGGGCACCTTTTGTACATGGTAAGTCAACTCTCTCTCTCAATTATCTGTATATCTACTTTACAGATTATTTGCCACAGATTTTTAAATGTAGGCTGGCTGACCACCAAACCCAGCAAAATCTTCAGCTCACCCCTTCAATTCTGGGTCTTTGGGTACTTCGGGAATATAATTTCATTGTAGCATCAGAGTAAACACTACAAGATGGGAAGTCTGCAGTCAATAAAACCACACCATCCAAATACATCCCAGAGTCAAATTAAAATGATATCAGGATTAGTCACATCATGGTTCTACTTCCACTGGCGTAGACTGAAGGATGAGATTGCTTAAGAGAGGAGGAAACTGACTGGCCCAAGATCATACAAGCACTAAATGACAGAGGCAGGATTTGAATCTGGTCCTCTGACTCTAAATCCAGCATGACAAAAATTAGCGTGGGTACAGGACTATTGGCCCACATCCTCCTGGGTAGGCAGCATGACACCCTGCACATCCCCACTCCCTAAGTTAGGCCGATGGGGTGAGAAAGCAAGAGACAGACACCTCAGAATTCCTGCTGCCTGAGGAGGGATCTGGGGACACCCCTAGTCACTCACCCCCAGAAAACCATCTTTGCTCTTTGTCATGGTCTCCAGGAGCAGGGGCTGGAATCGGGCCACTATGGACAGCTTCTCCTCTGGAAACAGGTTCCCTTCTATGTACAGCATCTCAGTGGGATCGAGTGGGGACTTTTCTTCCTCAGAGTCAGGGACAGGCATCGACCCTAGGTGGAACAGGTGGAATTAATGCTCTGCTCTTCCCTGGGGAAACCTGTGTGTCTTTGGGTAAGAACAGTACCCTCTCTGAGCCTCAGGTCCTACCCTGGTAGGATGGGACCCCACATTTTCATTCCCTTCCCCATCCTACTGGTGAATATTCTCATCTGTGAGGCTGTTTCTTTAACAGTGCTGGGCCAGAGACAGCAGGGTGAAGACTTTGGGGAAGATGGTAAAGTAAAAAGCTGCACTGTGTGTGTGTGTGTGTGTGTGTGTCCACTCCAGACTAGCCCCATCTAAACTACTTTGAAAACACAAATAACTTCTTTCTAACAACAACAGAAAACACTCAAGCCAAGAAAGAAAATGGTAATCCTGGGTACAGTTTGAAGAATCCGACAATAGCAGAGGAGAGCAAAGCACCAAGAAGATGGAGAAGCCACCTGCCAAGAAAGAACTGAAAAAAAAGAAACAAAACCCCCCAAAACCAACTGAGGAAATATCAATAGATGAGACAGAACAGATAAAAACCACTTTTAAAGAAATGAAGGCAGACAGTCACTATGCAAAGGGGTACCGGCAGTTTAAAAGAAGATGTCGAGAAACTGGCAAAGATAATGAAAAGCCTCCCTCAGAAAAGAATATACCAGCTACTCTCAGAGCAGAGACTCAGAAAAGAGAAGACGGACTGGAACAGACCAAACACGGAGGAGAACAGGATTGAGCAGGCAGATGGCAGCAAAGGAGAGAAACTGCAGACTGAGAATAGCCAGCCTCTGATCAACAAGCATCCCAGGGCAGAAGGACAGCAGAAAACGGGAATGATAACAGCCTCCTTCCCAGGCTGTGAGGAAAGTGGGTTACATGAATGTGAGCGAGGAACACGTATGGAGAAAAAATTGGAAATAAATTTCTTGACCTAAAAAGACCTCAGAGTCAGCTCAGAAAACGAAGGAATCCAGAGGACACTGACTAAGAACTTTCCTGCACACAAGACTCCACTACCAAGGTTTGTAAAGCTCAGGACTTCAGTCGCCATCCCCAGCAGGCTTAATGAAAGCAGGCTGAACCGAACTGGTGAAAGGAAGCCTGTCCAAGCAGAAAGGAGAAAGAACACATCAAAAGGGACGGCGGAGGATGACCTCAGATTGCTCTACAAACAAGGAGAATGGAGAGGAAAAAGAGCCAAAATCGATATGACACTCAGATAAGTCAGTTATGCTGGAAAAAAAAAACCAAAAAACAAAACCGCATCCTCAGCGTTGAAGGCACTGTAGTGAAATCCTCCCCAAAGGCTGACAATGACAGAGAAAGCCTGCATTCAACCTGGGGGCTGGGGACACCCGCAAAGCTGCTTGGGCAGGACGAAGGTGGTTCGACTTAGGACAAAAGCCCCATTACACTCATCCGATGAATTTTCTAGATAACCTTCCTTCAATGGGATACCAGACTGCACATCCACAGGCATCCTCAATTAAGATGGAGGGGAGCCTCCCACAGGGGAACTAGACCCAAAAGAGGCTGCAGGGGTCACCTAATCAGACCCTGTCGTTTCACAGGTGAGTGACTACCAAACGCATACATGTAATAAGCCTGGATTCAAACTCAGGTACCAGGACTCTAAAAGTTCAGTGTTCTTTCCATTATAACAAATGAGCCTCATGAGTTACTAGGGGCCAGTCTTCTGGCTGGTTCCTAAACAAAGTTCAAATTCTTTTGTCTGGTTTTCAAAGCCCTCCAAAATCTAGTGCCACCCTATATTTCTAGTTTTATTTTTGGTTGTACCCTCATCCTAGACCTATGCCTATTATCTCCTACTTCTCTAGGTGAGGCAAAAAAGATCTGTTGAGCTTCTGCAATATTTTTTTAAGAGAGGGGAAAGATGGGGAATAGTGTTCTGTTCTAGCTGGTAGCAATGGGAGTTGTGAATAATAAAAATAAAAACTAGCATTTATATATTGCTTTAAGGTTTACAAATTACTTTGCATGTGTTACCCCATTTGATTCTTACAACAACCCTGGGAGATACCTGCTATTATTATCTCCAATTTACAGAAGAGGAAACTGAGGCAAAGAGTGGTTAAGTTGCCCAGGGTCACATAATTAGTGAGTGTCTAAGGCAGGATCTGAACTTCCTGACTCCCAAGTCCAACATTCAGGCCATTATACTATCTGGTTGCCTCCCTTACCCTCTACCTTCATATCCTTCTCATCCATCCACACCCAGCCTCTCCCACTACCTGTGAATTTCTCAGCAATGGGCTTGAACTCTTCTGGGCTGATGGACAGGTCTTTGTCTAAATCCAGAGAGGAGAAGAGGTACAGGCCTTCTGTCCCCAGAGACTTTAATGCTGCCTCCTGCCTCATAGCAAAATAGGGAGATAATCATTCAGACACAATCAGAAGGCAGTTATAGAGTTATACAGGAGGATAATCATACAGGCAGACACAGCCAGCCAGCCAGTCAACCAGACAGCCAGCCAGTCAACCAGACACACAATCTGACAGACATATTCAGACAGACAGGCAGGCGGGAAGACACTGACATATTCAGATAGATACTCAGACAGGCAGGGAGACACTCTAGGAGGGCACACACTTAAGAGAGGCAGGCAGGCAGACCCTCAGACACATAAACACTCAAATAGGCACGCAGACAGAGAGGCAGATGATCAGAGAACTGGACAGACACACAGAAGTAGGCATTCAGGTAGGTGGACATTCAGATAATACTCAGAGAGAAAGACACTCAGACAAAAAGACAGACAAGCAGATAGATACTCATGCAGACAGATATTCAGACAGTCAGAGAGACAGACACTTAGGCAGTCAGAGAGATAGACAGCCAGACAGGTGGGCACTCAGAGGCAGGCACACAGATGCTCAGGAAGGGAGAAAGGAGAGGAGAGGGGAGGAGAGAGGCAGACAGAAATTCAGACTCTGTGTGTGTGTGTGTGTGTGTGTGTGTGTGTGTGTGTGTGACAGAGACGGAGAGGAAAGACTAAGAGACAGAGAGAGACAGAGACAGAGAAAGAGAGGGAGAGAAGGAGAGGGGGAAAGGGGAGACACAGGAGGAGAAGAGGGAGAAAGAGGGAGAGGCAGACAGAAATTCAGACTGTGCGTGTGTGTGTGTGTGTGTGTGTGTGTGTGTGTGTGTGACAGAGAGAGGAGAAGGGGAAAGGGGAGACACAGGAGGAGAAGAGGGAGAAAGAAGGAGAGGGAAAGGGGGAGGGGAGAGGGGGAGACGCAGAAGAGGGAGAGAGAGGAAGAGAGGGGGGCCGGGGGGGGAAGGAGGCAGACACTCAGCCCTCCGGCCAGACAAACACTAAGGCAGACCCTCGGGCGGACACCGGCCGGCCACTCCACGGCTGTTAGTCAGACAGACAGACAGACAGACTGGCGGGCGGTCGGCGCCCCTCCCCCGCCACACCGCCCCTCCCGTCCGCTCCCCCCGGACTCGGCCCCGTGGGGTCCCCGGAGCCCCCCTGCCCCTCCGTCCGCTCCCCGGGCAGGGCCTGACCCTCCGCGCCGCGGCCTGGGCCTCCCGGTAGCTCGCGTATCCCCGGGCGGCGGCGGCGGCGATGGCGGCGAGGAGCGCCCCGAGCAGGACCAGGCTCCAGCGGGCCGGGCGCTCCGGGGCATACGGGGAGCCGCGGGGCTGCCGGCCGGGGCTGCGGGCTCGGACCATGGCGACCACGGCGGCAGCACCCGGGCTCCGGCCCCTCGGCGCCAGCCAGGCCCCTCCGAGCCCCGGCTGCGAGGCGAGGGCGGAGCCGCGCCGGCGCTAGGGGGCGGGACCTGCTGTAGGGGCGGAGCCTCTCGCGGGGCGGGGCGGGGCGGGGCGGGGCGGAGGCTAGGACGACAAGCAGGGACTGAGGAGAGCGCGGAGGAGGAGGGGGAGGGGGAGGAGGAGGGGGAATGGGAGGAGGATCATCCAGGAATGGGCTTGGCCCCGTGGGGCAGAGGATGTGGCCGGACAATGTTAAGTCGTGACCCAGTGGGTCAGATGAGGAAACTGAGGGAAACAGGGTGAAGTGACTTGTCCAGGGTCACCCAGCCAGCAAGTGTTTGAGGCTGAATTTGAACTCAGGTCTTCCTGAGTCCGGGCCCCACATTCTATTCCTGGACCTTCGAACTGGGACTCATAAAATTACTTGTTTTCTCTCTCTCTCTCTTTTTTTTTTTTTAGGCAATTGGGGTTAAGTGACTTGCCCAGGGTCACACAGCTAGTAAGTGTCAAGTGTTTGGTCTGAGGCCAAATTTGAACTTAGGTCCTCCTGACTTCAGGGCCAGTGCTCTCTATCCACTGCGCCATCTAGCTGCCTCAATTACTTGTTTTCTCAACAGTGGTTCTTTGGACAGCAGCTTCTATCGAGCTAAGTGATAATTCTGTTTTCAGTACTGATATATTTATCGCCATCTCTTCCGAAGTTATAACAGAAAATGCTCTTGCTTATCCGCTTGCACCTTGATCGTGGCGTTTCTGTCCATCAGCCAGTAAACATTTATTAAGCACCTGCTACGCGCCAGGCACCACGCTAAGCCCGCAGGATACAAAGAAAGGAAAAAAACAGCCCCTGCCTTCGAGGAGCCGGTGGTCCTGGATCAGCCTGTTGTGTTTTAACTAATGTTAAGGTAATTCTTACTTTTTTCAGGATCCAGGATAACCACCCTCCCTGGCCCCATTTTTATTTTCTGGTTACTGGCAATTCCGCCTCAAACACCAACTTCGCAGTTCTCTTTCTGGTGCGTTCCTTTCTCACTCACATCTCTGTGCAGGGCATATTGTGAGAAAAGGTATTTCTGCTACTTCTTCATTTGTACTGATTAGAGGGCAATTTTGTATCAGACGGATCATAGTTTCTGGTTCCTTGACCCTGGGCCACTCCAAGGGCAATTGTCCTGTGGGCTGTTCCATCTCTCATCAGGTTTTCTGTAGGTTTTTGCTAAGGTTGTGCTGGTAAAAATTTAACAACCAGCTTTTGTAGGGAGGTGGGAAGTACACACAAAACACTTATAAGTTTAGTTAGAATTATTAACATTTTCTCCATCACTTTCTTAAGTCTAGAAAAACCACAAAACAATAAATCAAGCTCTGATTTGTAAGGTTAGCCAGTTTTCAAGGTGTGAATGCTCACACCGAAAATTAAACAATTGGCTTTTGAGAACCATTTGGAGCTGGTGCCAGAACACCCCTGTATCTTGTCCTAGAGTTTGAGAAAGCAGAGGTGATTGCTTGCTTGGTGTCTGTGGTCCACACTTGAAAGGACATTCTATTCCAGACAGAAAACTAAAAGCACTTAACGTTAGTATTGGTTTGCTTGTTACAGTTTGAGAATTCAAATCTTTTAAGTATTTAATGAACACTATAGTTAAAAATTTTTTAAATGAATTTTTAATGAATATTATTTTTAATGAATATTATTAACACTTTTAGCATTAACTGAATTCAACTACTGGCTGGACTGAGCTGAGTTTTCCCAAGTTGGATCATTCTTTGCCGTGTATAAATCACATTTAGATCAGCTCAGTATTTCTAGGAAGAGATACAAATTTGGCAGTTTCTGTTCATAATCAAAACCAACTCTGTGTGCCTCCAGGTCTTAATGGCCTGCCATACCCCTGCATTTTGGTTCCAGTCTAGTCACATCTGTTTTCTCAGATTTTATTGCACTTCTTTTTATCAGTCGTATTTGACTGTCCACTGGAGTTACAAAATCAAATAGCCTTTCCCCTTTTCTACCCAATGATAGAATGAATTGCGGCATACATTTTCTTATCAGTTTGACTAGCCAAAAACTTCTGGGGTGGAGTAGAGGAAGGACTCACCTGAATTCTCACAATATTCCCCTCCAAACAACTTTAAGATAATGCCTTAAATTGAAATCTGGAATGGCAGAGGCAACCAAAGGTCAGGTCAAAGGTGACACTCTTCCAGCCTAACAAAACTAAAGAGGTCAGACAGAGAGATCTATGGCATGAGGATAGAGTTGGCCCTGTGGATGAAACACCAGTGGTGGGACTAGGTGGTGTGACAGAAGAAGCAGCAGCTTCAGGAGCTCTCAAGACAGAGATGGCAAGGACATCTTCCAACTGGTCAGAAAGAGATGAAGGGTTCTTCTGTGCTAGTCCTGGATGCAAGATCTGACACTGCTTGGCAACTCCTTTGCCTATACTCACTTCTGGGTCAAAGTTCAAGGGTGGAGGGGAACACTTTTGGTCCAAAGGGAGTGGGGAGCAATGGGATCAGGGGCTCTTCTTGGGTAGAGAGCAGAGTGAAGACCAGGAGAGCAGTGACTACACCTCTCCCCAGATCACACTACCTTAGAAGCACTGAAAACTTCCAAGCCCCCAGAATTAGCTCTGAGAACAGTAGGCAAAAAATCCTGAAGCTTGGAACTGTTCCCCTACCTACCCACCCAACAGAGCACAACTTTAACATAAAGTTCAGACTCAAGAAATAGAGTGAAAAAAAATGAGCAAACAACTAAGAAAAAACAAAACAAAACCCTGACTATAAACACCTACCACTATAACAGTGAAGATACAGACACAAACTCAGAATAAGATAATAAAGTCCCAACAGCTACAAGCAAAGCCTCAAAGAAAAATGTGAATTGGACTCAAGCCCAACAAGAATTCCTTGAAGAGCTAAAAAGTGATTTTAAAACTTAAGAGTGGTAGAAGAAAAATTAGGTAAAGAAATGAGAGTCAAGAAAAAAATGAAAAGACAATTAACAGCTTTAGTAAAAGAGGCACAAAAATAATGAAGAAAATAACACCTTAAAAACCAGAATTGGCCAAATGGAAAAAGAACTCACTAAGGAAAATTATTCCTTAAAAATTAGAATTGGAAATTCTATTGGAAATTGGAAATGGAAGCTAATGATTCCATGAGACATCAAGAAACAATAAAACAAAGGCAAAAGAATGGAAAAAATTGAAGAAAATGTAAAATATCTCATTGAAAAAACAACTAACCTGGGAAATAGATGAGATAATTTAAGAATTACTGGACTTTCTGAAATTCATGATCAAAGAAAGAGCCTAGACATCCTATTTCAAGACATTATCAAGGAAAACAACTCCAATATCCTAGAACCAGAGGGTAAAACAGAAATGGAAAGAATCCACTGATCACCACATGAAAGAGATCTCTCCTAGCAATATTATAGCCAAATTCCAGAGCTTCCAGGTCAAAGAGAAAATACTTCAAGCAGCCAGAAAGAAACTATTCAAATATCATGCAGACACAGTTGGTATCATACAAAATTTAGCTACCATATTAATGGAATATGATATTCTGGAAGGCAAAGGAGCTAGAATTACAACAAAAAATAATCTATCCAGCAAAATGGAGTATAATTCTTCAAGGGGCAAAATGGATATTTAATGAAATAGAGGACTTTCAAACATTCTTGATGAAAATATCAGAGTTGAATAGAAAATTTGACTTTCAAATACAAGACTCAAGAAAAACATGAAAAGGTAAACATGAAAGAGAAACCATAAGGGACTCAATAAGGTTCAACTATTTACATTTTTCTATGGGAAGAAGATACATGTAACTTCTAATAACTTAATTTTTATTAGGACAGTTAGAAGGATTTTGCATAGTCAGAGGGTGCAGGAGTGAGTCAATTATGTTGAGATGATGTAAAAAAAAATGGTTGGGTGAGAAAGAGGGAGAAGGGGGAGGAGAGAGGTAGAATGGGGAAAAATTTCTCCCATAAAAGAGGGACACAAGGAAGAGCTTTTGCAGTAGATAGGAAAATGGTGGTGGTGGTGGGGAGGGGCAGGCAACACTTGAACTTCACTCACATCTAAATTGGTTCAAAGAGGGAAATACACACACACACACACACACACACACACACCCCACTCAATTGGGTATAGAACTCTATCTTACCCAACAGGAAAGTAAGAGGGAAAGGGGATAATTGAAAGGAAGATGGTGATAAAAGAGAGGGCAGATAAAAGAAGGCAGTGGTCAGAAGCAAAACAGACTTTAGAGGAGGGACAGGATAAAAAGATAGAGAAAAATATAAACAGAAGAAAATAGGTTGGGGGAGAAATACATAAGTTAGTAATCATAACTGTGAAAGTGAATAGGATGTGCTCACCCACAAAATCACAGTGGATAGCAGAATGGTTCAGAAACTGAAATCAAACAGTCTATTTCAAGAAACACACTTGAAACAGAGATACCCAGAGTTAAAATAAGGGGCTGGAACAGAATCTATTATGCTTCAGCTGATGTAAAAAAGGTAGGGGTAGCAGTCATGATCTTTGACAAAGCAAAGGCAAAAAGAGACCTAATTAAAAGAGATAAGCAGGGAAACTATGTCTTGCAAAAAGATGTCTATTATAGATAATGAAGTAATCTCAATACTAAACATATATGCACTAAATGGTATAACATCCAAATTCTTAAAGGAAAAGTAAAAGAATTGCAGAAGGAAATAGTGAAACCATACTAGTGGAGGACCTCAACTTTCCTCTCTCAGGGCTAGATTAATCTAACCATAAAATGAATAATAAAGAAGTTAAGGAGATGAATAAAATATTTGAAATCTTACATATGATAACCCTCTGGAAAAAACTGAATGGGAAAAGAAAGGAGTATCCTTTTTTTCTCAGTTGTATGTAGCACCTTCATAAAAAATGGCCATGTATTAAGGCATAATA